GAAGATGGGCACAGATGTTAGCCCAGGGCCAGTCTTCCTCAGCAAAAAAAGAGGAGGATTGGCAGATGTTAGCACAGGGCTGATCTTCCTCACACACACACACACAAAAAATTTATTATGCTTATTTACATACATCTCTCCCTCTTGTAAAAAGCAAGCTCCTTGAAGACAAGGACCACGTGTTAATCATCTTTGAATCTCCAGTGACTAACACAATGAGATGCTCAATGTTTGTTGAATGAACTGAAATCTTCAAATCACCCCTCATATTTAAGTATAATTATCCTCTTTCACAAAGAGGCTAAAGAATTTAAAGAACTGGTCCAAGGTAACATGGTTAAAGAGTGGCACAGCTGGAATTTTTAAGAAGTTTCTCTAACTCCAAAGCCCATTCTCTTCCACTACAATACCATTTCCAAAAATGTTCTATTTGGGGCACTAGTTCTACAAGATGTTAATAGATGACCCACAGAAAAGAGTTGTTGGTCAAATATCTCAAATACTGAGCTAAACAAAGTTAGTTTTTTATTTTGTTTCTACTATAGGACTTCATAGTCCTTTAATGTGTTAATACGCATTATTTTTGCCCCCAGGGCATCTTGATTTTACAGTGCACCATTATGCCTTTTAAATTGCATTATCACCCAGAAACATAATTTAAATTAGAATTTAAATAATTGGGCAACATGCATTTAATGGCAATTTTCCATGAGCTCAATACTTTATCAAACAACATGATAAATACAAAAATAAAGACATGATCTCTTGCCCTCGAATAATCTAGAGACTAAATTATCATGTATGAAATTAAGTATTAATCATCAGAAAAGACAGGACACTAGCTACATCTTTTTAAAAAATATGTTAAGAAGTCAATTTTGATTCTTTTGCAAAAGCATTATACAATGAAAACCTTCAATTCATTTGAATTAGGATAGTTTTACTATTTGTCTAAATTGAAGATCCCTAGGGGGAAAAAAATCAAGCAAATGATGATACAAATAAACTGTGTTATAAAAAAATGACCTAGTTTCAACTCACTTAAAATATTCAATGCATTCCACTTTACTGATCTAGAGTATTGAAAATGCTTATGGATTCTCTCCTGGACACACTAAGGATTACAGAAGTCATCTCAACACAGAAAAAATAAAACTTTCTCTCCAGGCCAAGTTTATCATCTAGCTTTTCAGAGAGTAAAAGCAGAGTTCATTCACTTCAATAGAATTAAACGTAACCTATATTTATTTCAGTCACTTAAAAACAATACCTTTTATTAGCTGTGTATTTTTAATGAGGCTGATAACAAACATAAGACGCTAACAAAATAAGCCAGTAAAATCAAACAGATCTTTTAAAAAACTAGGAATACTGTTAATTTTTTAAACCCTATGGTTATGGTTTATACTTACCATTTTTATTTGCTGGTGAAAAAAAGTTGAAGACAGGAGAAAATATGGTCCCCAACAAGGTAGTCCTTGGAGGACTGCCAGAGGAAGGATTATCTTCTAATTTTCCATTTTGTTTTACATGTTGATTTGTCATTTCATAACTACCAGCTTCTAAGAAAGAAACAGAACAAAAAAGTTGCAATCTAGAAAACATGACTTTCAGAAATGTGTTCTAAACCATTCATTACAAAAACTTTTTTCCTTCCAAATAGTTCATGAAAACTCATTAACATTAATGTTAGGAAAGATTACTATTTAAAGAAATCCTGAGATAAATCACTTGTGAATCAAATGATCTGTATAAAAAATTTATTTATAATGTATTATTATAAATGCTAAAATTTCCTCAGTTTTTTCACAGTAGATTTACATCTAGAATTACATAGACTGAAAAGGCTTCAAATCAACAGTGTTAACAGAAAATGAAATAAATTCTTTTTAAGTAAAGCAAGCAAGTTCCAGTATGAAAAACACAAATGCAAGATTTTGTCTCTGTTTATTTACATTTTAGAATGCTGCCTACTTCATAAAACCTACCCTTTAATCTACTTCTAATGACTAACAGCTAAGTAATTAGAGGCAACATAGTCTATTGAAGTAGAAGACTACATATAGCAGTGTCAAAAATTACTTATGGATATTGAGGCACCATTTCAGAGTGGTTAGGAAGAATAACCAGTTTTTTTTTTTTAAGTTTCTTATGAATAAAAAATTTTCATGGGTTTTTAGAAAATATAAAATTAAAACAAATGTTTTGATTAATCATCCTCGACCCTCCACAACTTTACTTAGTATCTATCACATTTCTTTCCTTCTTTGCTATAGCTTTTTTAACTTGTTTCTTTACCCCTTTTCTCTCTAATGGTCAATTCTAACAATAGAAATACATCACCGCATTGAGGGGAAGGAGGTAAGGAATTATAATTGCTGTTGTGTAAAATAGCATTGGTTAAAAGGCAGCACTCCATGCTCTAAATTGTTGTTCTTTAGAGCTTTCTCTGCTTGTCCTTCTTGTTTTTCTCCCTCTTTTTGACTTTGAGAAGTTTCTCAGATACTGTAAGGTATTGACAGGGTTTATCAACAGCAGCGCTATTGACTTGGGGCTGGATAATTCCCTGTTGTGGGAGGATGGCCTGTGCACTAAGAATGTCTAGCAGCATTCCTGACCTCTACCTGCTAGATACCAGTAGCAACCCCTTCACAGGTTGTGACAACCAAAAAGGTCTCCGGACATTGACAACTGTCCACCAGGGACAAAACCACCCCTAGTTGAGAACCACTAGCCTGAGTGATCCAAGCCCCCTCTTAACTCTGAAATTCCAGGATCCAGAAACAAATTCTTTGAATTATATTTCAAATAAAGTTAAGTCAAAATTATTATTGCTTTAAGAAATGAGTTTATTAGAGATCAAAAATATTGCTCCATATATCTTTTCATGCTAAACAATATACAGCTAGTTGCTCTGCCTTCACTTGTCATTTTAATTCATCAAAGTAGATTTATATTAGGAAGGCAAATTTTTATTTCAATTCATGCTACTAATATTTAATACAAAGGAGATTACAAAAATTGGGCAGGAATTGCTCAAAGTGGATTTTTAAAAACAGAAAAGAAACATGTCAGGTGAGATCTCTGCTTATACCTAATAAAACAATATCTAAATATTAACAAACCTCCATTTACTTGACTTTTCCGTCTTACTCGAGATATCTGTTTGTTAGGCTTTTCTCCTGCTCTTGGTGTTGATGTAATCAAATTATTATCTATATCACGTTCAATTCTACTCCGTTTCGATGGATTTTCTCTCTCTTCCTTAAGATATAAGAGGAAAAAACATGCATTGAGCAGTCATTCTGCCTTACAGGTAACACTTTTAAAATGATAAAATATGATATGCACCCCCATGTTCACTGTAGCATTATTTACAAAGCCAAGATATGGAAACAACCTAAGTGTCCATCAATGGATGAATGGATAAAGGAAATGTGGTGTATATATACAACAGAATATTATTTAGTCATAAAAAAATGAAATCATGCCATTTGCAACAACGTGGATGGACCTTGAAGGCATTATGCTAAGTGAAATAACTCAGACAGAGAAAGACAACACCATATGATCTCATTTACATGTGGAATCTTTAAAAAAAAAAAAACAAAACAAAACCCCAAGCTCATAGATAGAGAGAACAGATTGGTGGTTGCCAGAGGCAGAGGGAGTGGGGAGTAGGTGAAATGGGTGAAGGGAGTCAAAAGGTACAAAATTCCAGTTATAAAATAAACAAACCATGGGGATGTAATATACAGCACAGCAACTACAGTTAATAATACTGTATTGCATACTTGAAAGTTGCTGAGAGAGTAAATCTTAAAAGTTCTCATCACAAGAAAACAAATATTCTGTGACTATGTATGGTGACAGGTGTTGACTTAAATACGGCAATCCTTTCACAATATATACAAATATTGAATCACTATGTTGTACACCTGAAACTAACATAATGCTGTATATCAATTACAATTGATCATTTAATTTTAAAAAAAGATAGAATATGGTGTAATATACCTTCCTCTGTTTTTCACATCCAGGAGAAATAAAATAGAATTAATATCCAACAGAAAACACAGGAAAAATCTGACAGTGTTGTAACAGTATTTATTAAAGTAATTACAATACACAAATATAATTACAGAATCCTCACAATTCAGACCCCTTCCCCAGGGTCCATTAAATTTTCCATGCTATTAAAATACTGAATTGTACAATGTGTTCTGATTTTTCAGCAATTTTTCCTTATTCTTAGAATTGCCCAAAAGAACAGAAGTCATTTCCTTGAGCACTCAGGGTAAGAGAGAGAACCCCACTGGAATTCGCTAGCATACAACATACTACCAAAAAACGACACAAAAATAATAGCCGGCCACTGCCACACCCCCAGTGCCAACCTCAATTCTTTAAATGCCCAAATTAACAGTAAGGAGACTACTCCTTAACAAAGCTCTCTATTCATTTCCTTATATGGGGCAAATCCACATGACCAGTTTACACTATTTCTACAGCATTATTGACTAAAATAGTATACTCCAAGCAATAGCCTCATATATTTTTCTCCATTTATTCATCTATTTTTCTCATTTGTAAAATTTTTCTAGAGTTACCTACCACATGAGTGATTTTCTTACATTACTGTAATATTGACCTATAATTCTTTGCTATTTTAATGAGATTACCTGAAATCCTTTGATAAGGATTAGAGTTTTAAATCCATATTATAATTTATACATACAATCAACATTCTTATTCAATAGGAATAAACTCTACTTATTTTGTATTTGATGCTTTTATACCATAGCAAATAATATATTACTATGCATTTTCTAAAGGTTAAATATTGTTTTATTATTTCTGAAACAAATCTTGGTATCGTAAATAGCCAAAATTACAATTCCCTATTTGGGTCAAAACAGAAAAAAGATAATACATAAATATTATTCAATATACAATTTTACTTTTACCCAGCAGTTTCTATAATTTTAGGTAGCTTCATCAAAACAATATGTCATTATAGCACAAAATAATGCCTCAGTGATCCACAACAAAATTCCTCAAATTTTTACTTTTTATCATTCCCTTGCATTTTAAAATGATGAACAGGAAGCCTCATATACCTAAAACAGGATTTCCATTACCAGAAAATATAGAGGTTCTCTTTATAAAGTTCTTCAAGAACAGAAATAATGCCACAAAGCCTCAACTACACTAACCTCCAGCATCCTCTTGAAGAAGTCTCTTACTACATCTACTATAACATAAATACATACATTCCTGAAAACCTTGCATTCTGCAACACTAAAAGTAACAAGGCTTATGGAAAAAAACGGGTCCAGGAGGTAGAGAGGGGGTATGTTGTTGCAGATCAGTCAATGCCCCTATACCTCTGTAACCAGAACACTAACAAAAACAATGATTGGGTTCTCCAGAGATAACTTGGACACCCCAGTCAGGCAGATAAGAGCAGCTGAAAAGCTACCTCAGGGCTTAATAAAAGGTATTAAAAACAGAAAAGCAAAAACAAGGGCTTACAGGAGCTGAGAAGTGGAGCTTTAAGCCAGCAGGGCTGCCAAAATAGATAGAAAAGAAAATGCAAGCTGCCACAGAAGAAGAGTCCCTGATAGATCAGGGTGTATCTCTGTGGGAGGAAACCCCTTGCAGGTTATCACTTTTAATTGAAAACTGTGGGGGGGTGGGGCTCACGGGCAGGGGTGGGGGGACAGGTGCAGGAGAGAGCTTTTGCCCCCATAGCAACTGAACTGAAATTTTTTTACTTTCCTGTATATATATTTTTTACTTTCCTGAACTGTAAAACTCAACTCCCATTATTCAGGATCCCCTGGTTCAGTTTAGGAAAAATCATATATAAACCAACACACTATCCAGGTTATATTGACATTATTACCCTCTTTACCAACAGTGTATAAGCTAATTGATACTGTGGAGGTACCCCATACTGTAGCAGAATAGACTATTCTGTGGTCAATTGAGAATATATTCAATTACTTTAGCTTACATCTTTAAAGAGGAAGAGGAAACTATTAAGATCAAGGTTAAAGTTCTGTAGTGATTGACAATCAAATTCTGTTCTTCAAGATACTGCATTCAAATGTCTGATGATGCTCCAATTCTGAAAGACAATTCGTCACCCAATCCTAGTCTGTCTTGAACATTCAACTATATAATTTGGGGACATTTTTGTACATGATATGATTTTTAGAAGAGGAACTAGGAAAAACAAGATTTCTACATTACTGTACATTACTACATTACTGTACTGTTTTAATAAATTTAATAACGCTACATATCTGCTTCGGAATTTGTATTTTTCAAAGTTGTCTCTAAGATAGACTTTTAAGGGGAAAATCTTAGGAAGGTGATATTCTTAAATCTCAGAATCCTGAAGGAAATACAGAGAACTAAAGAGGCAACAAAAACACAAGGGCAAATTTACAACAAAACCAGGAGACAAGGTATCTCCCCCAAATTTCAAGTGGATGAGGACAAACCAACAGCCACAACACCTCAGTGCCCATATGCACCAGTGTAGAAGAAAGCAAAGGGATGCAACAAGGTATGTGACACATCTGAGAACAGGAGAAGCCCAAAATAGCTAACAGGTAGGTATTCAATAGAAAGCATGGCAAGCCAATTTGAGGATGCCTAATGCAACAGGGGAGAAGAAGGTGCTGCCCAATCCAATAGCAAAGGGGTCCATGGTGAGACTGAAACAACAGGAGCAGTTTAGCTCCCCTGAACTCTTGAAATTGACCAACTATGGCTCCCTTCTAGAATGGGGCTCCACACTGAGGGGAAACTTCTGGGAATGGGATCAAAATTGAGTAGGAAAGGCACAACAGAGAAGAAGGAAAAAGAAGTTCCAGATAACTTCTGGGGTGTAGAGGGTAGGGATAAAGAGACAAGAAGACTCAAAAGCAATCACTATATTTTTGAACACTATGCCAAAATAACAAAACTAGTTAGACAAGATATCCTAAACCACATAACTTTCTAAAAATTCAGAAAAACTAATCTCACATAAAAATGAGCAACAAGTACAGACGTCAAATCTCACACAAAATTATCGTAATAAAACACACAAGGAGTAAAATAACATCTCTATAAAGAAAGCATATCAGAAAAACATGCATAGCAAACGGATCAAAATTATAACCTTCAATTTCAAAACAAGACAAAAGACACTAAGAAAATATGAGACATATAGCAGAGTTAGAAAAACTCAGAAATGAAGAGACAGAACAAAATAATTAGAAGTAAAACAAGAAAATCATTTTGGAAATAAGACTAAACTAGAATGGTCATAAAAGTGAGTAAACAGAATAGATATGCCTTTAACAGAAACAGAAGGTACAATAGGGAAAAAATTTTTTTAAAGAAACCAAAGGTGACTAATATTGAAGCTAGACAAAGAAGATCCAACAAACAGAAAATAGTAGTCCCTGAAGAAAACTTTCAAAGCAAAAGAATGGCAACAGAACAAAAATTAGAAAATTTTCCTTGAATGAAAGATAGGAAATTACATATTGAAAGAGTACGCTGTTTAACTAAAGCTATCAACCCAGAAAAACAAATACCAAGATATATTCTAAACTTAACAGAACTAAAAAACAACAGTTTGTAGAATAAGGCAAAAATCAATTCATTTATAAAGGGTAAAATTAGATTATCATCAAACTTTGACAGCAATGCTTTTCATGCCAGAAGAAAATAGCATAACATTTAAAATAATCAAGAGAAAATGTAAGCCAAGGATTTTATATGCAGCAAAACTGATTTTCAAGCATAAAGGGCACTGTTATGAACAAGTGAGAACTCAGAATACTGATCCCATGAGTGCTTTCTGTGGCATCTACTAGAAAATGAGCTTCAGACAACAAAAAATAACTACAGACAATGACATGAGAACTGAGGATAAACATACCAAACATATGTAAACCTGTATAACTAAGACAAATGAGGATTAAAAGATAGTATGTAATGCCTATAGGCTCAAAATGTATAGATATAAAACTATAAGAAAATTGGTAAGAGTATATAAAAAGTTTTCTTTTTAATTGTTCACTTTAAAGACATTCTGAGACAGAAAACTTGACAGAATTCACTTCCAGGTGATCTGAACAAGAAATACTAAATGAAGTTCTTTAGGCATAAAACAAAGAATTAAAGACGGGATCCTAAATGAACACCACTAAGGCAAATAAATATATGAGTAAATATAAATTGTATTTGTGTTCAATATT